CAGATTCGATATTCTCGTTGATGGCTACAATAGTCAAGATAGGAATTCAGTTCGTTATTATCTTCTATTCCGAGCCCGTGACAAATATGGGCTCAGGAACAGGCGTGGGTATTTTGGGATGGTGAATGTGGCACTATGATCAAACTACTTGTGCAAAATAAAGAGGGGTGGGCAACTCAGAGTGCATGTGACTGATCACTGAGCGCGCCCTGAGTAGGCACTGAGTAGGCCCTGAGTGCTCACTGAGTGCTCACTGAGTACTGACCTGTGACAGAAAACACTCACTGAGCAAGCCACTGAGCACCCTCATAGAAGCGGTGGCATCCGGAAGGGGAAAGTCACGGTCGCTCTAGAAAATCAAGTTCGTATAGGTACATATATACTATGTACTCTGTATTATACTGCCAAATACCAACTCAACCGATAAATATAGCATCTGCTACATCACCATGCACACAGCCATGCCACACAGCCACTTTATGACAAGCTTTCACAGCCTTCCCTGATTCGCCCGCTTATCACAATCGCCACCTTTGATTGGCCAGCCCCACCTGTCATGTCTCAAAAAGCAGAACACGAACCATGGGACTAACGCGAAGGATTCATGTATACCCCGGATTATAAAATGCAAGTATGTATACACTCGATTTGACAGATAACGATGGAAAAAAAAGAAACCCGTTTTCGCAGTAATGAGACACAGAAGTACTACGTACTCAGGGGTCGACGAGCCGCTCGCTCGTTTGCCGATTCTTTTGATTCAGCCATAGCCTTGTCGATCGCGGAGGGGCGCACGTTTGCCGTCATTTTTTTAAGACTTTTCTCTTCGCTTCTCAACGTCTTCTAATGACATGACATGCCATCATGGAGTTGAAGAAGGTATTCAACGCTCCCCAGGTAAACCAGATTAACACCTGGGATCTGACACCGGTCAGCAACCATGCCTCTACCTCGCAGTTGTTTCCGAGTCCGGACAGTGGGAACGACAAGCGGCCCGACTCTGTAGCCGCGCAGCTGAGGATAAAGTGCGGGTGGAAGTATCTCACTATGGATACGTGGTATGGGGAGACGTTTCTTTTGACTTTTAGTTTTTTCAGCTTCCTCGCTATTGTTGTTGTCCTGGCGGTTTATGACGAGAAGCCATCGCCGAGTCTCAAATGGGGTCTCAAGCTGAACACAATCATTTCCATCCTGGCGACCGCGTGTAAGTCGTCTTTGATATTTGTGGTTAGCGAGGCGATGGGGCAGTTGAAATGGATTTGGTTTTGGACGGGAAAGAGAAAACTCAAAAGCTTGCAGACTATTGATGAAGCGAGTCGGGGCCCTTTGGGTTCGGTCTCGGTTCTATTCTCGCGTCCTAGGAAAGGACGTGCGTTGATCATGTTTGGGGCCGCAATCACTCTCCTGGCTCTGGCATTCGAGGCGTTCATGCAGCAGATCGTGAGTTATCCCGTGCGACAAGTCGACGATGACACCGGCCAGGCGGTAGCAAAACGAAATGAATTTCTCTTCGACCTTGAATCTTATGGTGATCACGAGGAAGATATCGTTGGCGCAATCTACGCGGGGGTGTGGACAACAAATTTCAGACTGGATCCAACCTGTCCATCCGGAAACTGCACCTGGCCACCTTTCCAGTCGATTGGCTGGTGCAGTCAATGCGAGGATATTACCTCCCAAGCGACCTTGGCCAATTGTACCGACATTCCCGAGGACACGGACATGACTGAGCCGCATGTGTACCCCTGCAACGTGACTGTTCCGGGGGGGAACTGGGCTTCTTTCCCCATCCACGTGTCCAAGACGCGTGGCGTGGCCATGCTGGAAATGCCCACGGATATGGTTTGGACGGTCGGTATAAGGCCGCTTGGGGAGTATGCCGGGGTCGAAAATCCGCTGGTCGTGCTCGCATATGCTAAGATGCACGATTACCCTGTTAGCACACCGTCGCACCCGGAAAAGGACATGAAAATCGACAACGTCACCCAATGCGTGTTGTCCCCATGCATGCGGACTTACAGTGTTTCTGTGTCTGGTGGAAATCCAACCACCCACCTGTCTCCACCAAGTTGGGGAGAACTCGTTGATGATGGCCGTAACATCAGTGACAGCTACAATGCAGTGTTCCAGTCCACGGCCGGTAACCTAACGGCCGGGGTCTCTTCGTCGTTTGTTTATAATTTCAAGTTCCTCCATGATTCTATAGAATTCGCAACGCTGTATAACTACTACGGTAATGACATGTGGAATCAGTCGGGCGAGACTTATGAAGACAGTCTCAGGAGACTCCAAGTCGTTGGTGCGGAGGAAATTATGCAGAACCTCGCTGCGTCACTGACCAGGTACGGGCTCGAAAACAGTACTGAAACTGTACATGGAACTATGTCCGTCTCTCGGGTTTATGTATCCGTGGAGTGGGAGTGGATTACTCTCCCGGCCATCGTCCTCCTCGCCTCAATAGCTTTGTTCATATCAACGGTCGTGAAAAACAAAAAGCACGGACTGAATCTGTGGAAATCGGCTATTCTACCAGTGTTGTACCATGGTCTTGATGATGATCTTTTGAGAGATGGACCTGAATATGCAACCGTCAGCAAAATGCAACGGACGGCAGCTGTACCGGTGGGATTTGCACACTCGGAAGCTAGGAATCGATTGATGTTCCGGAGATAACTGCTCTGTGTTTGGAGGATAGTAATTGTACATAAGACTTGATTTAAATAGATAATTATAATCAATAAATTTAATAAAATGATGATAAGAGGAAGGATATCGCCCCCAGACTACGCCCCAAACAACAAGGCGCCTGGCGTGGCTGACTAATGCTTTAAATGAGTCTGGGGGTGGGGGGAAACTATCAATTCCTACGAAATAAACGTCGATATTTGAAACGTCTTTTATACATAAAATAAGCGTGATTGACATTCTTAAAAAGAGGCACCAAAAAAAAAAAAAAAAAAAAAAAAAAAA